TTTCTTTCTATAAAAACCAAATCTCTCTCTAAAAAACCGTTATCTCCTTCCATCGAAAAAATATTTTAGCATACGTTTTTTCTTTGATTACGACCATGAAAAGTTCGAAAAGTGAGGTAAAAATAAAAAGAGGCTTCTTAAAGCAAAAGTCTTAACAGGTCGGGCCTGAACAGTATCGGGACTCATGCCGGGGCCAGATACGACCGGTTCGCAGCCCTACTTACACGTGGAAAGAAGAAGAATTAGGGAGATAAGCAATTAATCTTGTCCCTTTCATTGAAGCTTGGTCTTCCGGTACCAACTTTCTGCATTCCTCTCCGCAATTCAAACATGTATCTTATTCTCCTCCTTTATTCTCTGCTCAATATTTTATTGCAACAGCATGTCACTGTGAAGCTATCCCATGCTCGATTCCCCCGTACTTCATAAATGTACATCCCCTTGTTCTCCTATGGAATCGGGAGAATCATCGTCTGGTGTGTAAGAAAACAACCCTATTTGAAATGTGCCTGCAAGTGCTGGTTGAGATATTTAATCCTCCAGTAAACTCCATGACTGATGACCCCACACTTATAGCCTCCGACCCTCAGAGTTTTTATGAAAACCAAGATGAAGATCCATTGAAATCTCAGATAAGATGGTGATTTTCAAAATATAGAGGTTTCAAATTATTGCGTCTCAACCAACTCCATGAATTTATGAGAAATGAATATTAAGAAACTACCTAATATTGGAATTTCTGGAATCAATTCATATGTGCCACATTCAAAGGGGTTTATATTGTTCAGATCTCTAATAGAACTCAAATGATATCCTATATGATTGAAGGTTTGATATTGATTTGAGAGTCTTATTTTCAATCTCCAAAGTAAGTTTATGAGAGATGAAAAAAATAAAACTTTAAACCTTCAAGGTCTAAAGCAGGGGCAATTTGAGGAAAGTAAAACACATTGAGAAAGGGATTATATACAATGAGACCATATACCTTTTATACAGGATGGTCACAATTTCTTACAACCATTTGATGTGAAATTTGAAAGCTTGAATGTATCACAAAGTTCAAACAAATTTCTTTTGAAGTTTGAGCTTAGTTAATAGAATGATTGCAGCCACCCAATTTTACATCCAATGGTCAATATTAATGTGACCACTATGTATAAAATGTAAATGGTCTTACTCTATATTTTCCTTTTGAAAAATTGGTATGAATGTAAAATCTAACAATCTAAGGAATTTCTTAAATATTGATAACTTAAAAAGGCGATAGCATAAATCTATCAAATAGATATACATGGACCCAAATGGGCTCTTTGATCCCAAACAAAAGTCGTTTCCATGGAACTTAAATGGGAAACCCAATCGAAAACTCCCTACCTGGGCAAGACAATGATAAGACTACTATGACTTTTATTATTCCAAACGCATATGTGGTACAGATTATTTGGTGAAACAAAACATGTCTCACAGTGATATACTTTATTCCATAGACCAATTTTATTATAATATTATAGTCTACGCTCCACAACAAATCAAAATATTAAGAAAAAGATACAGATGAAAGCTACCCAATGATCGTTACAATCGTCCCCATGGGCAATATCTATATGTGTAATGAGGGCTCCTTGACCTTGATGTTTTAGTTATTATCCATCCAGAAGCTGGCCTGGAGTTTATCAACCAGTTGTTTATCAATTTGGAAAGCCTTTGCAAGAACAACATCAGAGATAGGTGGGTTGGCTCCAAACACAGCTTTAGCTATGGTTATGACCCCTGGATTTTGGCTGCTCAAACCTGCAATGGCCACAGAATTGCCATACCCCACATTTTGCTGGAAGTGAATGAGGCCTTGAGGAAACACAAACACATCGCCCTTGTTAAGTGTCTTGCTAATCAAACGGTTTTCGGGATTGCTCGTTACGAAGCCAACATAGAGGGTGCCTTCTAAGACGGTGAGGATCTCCGTGGCACGTGGGTGTGTGTGGGGAGGGTTTTGGCCACCAGGAGCAAAGTCTATACGCACCAAGGAGATACCCAAAGTGTTGAGCCCAAGAATTTGCATTACATTTACTTGGGTGACCATTGAACCCAAAGGATTGCTCGTGTTGCCGGGCTTGTCGAGTCCGTCATAGAAGAAGTCCTTTGCTGTCACCAACATCGGGTCTTTGCAAACTTTTCCATTCACAAACACTGCATGGGAGACCGCAGAGAGAACAGTGATTAACATGTTGTAATAAAAAAAGTGTAGGCTTCAATCCGTAGCTGTACTCTTAAGGTTTCGATTCTTCTTCAATGTAAAAATAAAGTAAAATATAAGAGATTATGGCTGTTGTAGTATTTGATGAGAGGAGTACCTTTGCTGTAGTTGTCTGCGACACAGAAATCCTGCAAGGGACTAGGATCGGATGCTAACCCGAGTGAGGCTATCATAGAAAGGGCAACGAAAACAATTATGAGCTTCATTTTTTTCTATAAATCTGATCAAGCTAATTAAATAGAATAAGACCACCTCCTCACTCTTGGTCTATGGAGCTGCAAGGATAGCAGGCATTATATAGAGGCATTAGAGATGGTTGCCGAAGTTAGGTGGAAACTTGTTGAACAAGTCCTTGCATTGGGTAGTTAAAAATTGCTCATGGACTTTACCTAACAAACCAATTAAATTCTAACCTAATCCTTGTATAAAGATGTATCTGACATCCTCAAACTGAAGACTTGGGAATATCTGACGTCCACAAACTGAAGACCTGGGAAGGCAGCCCGGGCCTCCTTCTTTCTTTCTTTTTTTCTTTCTTTCTCTTCTCTTTTTTTTTTTTTTTTTTTTTTGTAGCCCCAAGCTGGCCTAGACCTAATAAAGCTAGAGCTAAGGCCTGACCTAAGCAGGCTTTATGGGGACAAGGGTCGAACAGGGGCCAAGGCTGCCCCGGCCTGGTGCTGTTGATACCCTACGAAGACAAGTTCAAAATCTTCAAAATTTCTATCATATATTAAGGATGGGACGTGGCCATTTTTCAATACTCTTGGTGTCGTTTACCATGTAATTCTTCTTCAATGCGTGATTTTGCAATGGTGATTTCAGATTTTAAACCCTAGCCAAGACATAACAACCCTATGAATTCACACGTACCTATTTTTCCATCACTTTGACTAGTTCATCAGATACATCATTTATCCTCAGGTACGCGTTTGCCTTTGAAGAGTTACCAAGGAACCTTCTCAAGAGTCAACATAACCAATCCTGTATCTAAACCTGCCAACGTGCCGGACCGGACCTCCCCCGGGTGGCTATGGGGCCACCATGAGCACGGTTTTATATGGACCGGGCCAAGAATAATTTATTCAAATGAAAAAAAAAAAGCAAAAGAAAAGAAAAATAGCTGGGGAGCCTGGATCTCAACCACATTACGAAGTACAAACCCTAGTTTTCAAGGGACGGGTCGATGAGTACAGGGCCAGGCTGCCTGGCCCATTGTTAGTCCTACCTATGTCATAACGCTCTATCTTATTTGAAAACTTGTGTTGCACATTGTTTGTCTCTCATGTTTGCATACATGGATAGTACATGGGCTCTCTCTCTCTATATCTCTCTCTCATTTTAATGGTATCACTTGGATACTCCCCCACTCTCTAAAAACATGGTATCCAGGAATGCACCATAAAAATCCAATTATTAGAGGGAATGATCTAAATGTTCAAAAACCCAATATCCAATGTTTTGCTAAAAACAATCATCCAATTGTAATTAGATAATCATTGAGTTATATAATTAGATGGATCCCAAAATTTCAAATAAAAAAAAAATTCTCAAAATGTTTTGCTTGAAGGAGTTAATATATAATATACTCCCGAGGGAGCATAGCATTAATGTGGAGTGCTAGTCAATGGGTTTAAGGGGATAAGGTTGCAAGACGTTGTCCGATGTTCAACGTGTGGAAGAAAGAAAAGATTGGAAGATGATACTCAAACTAAACAAATCCTTCATCTTCTTCATTAATTTCCGTAAATGCACTCCCTCTAAAGGTCCAACAGATTTTAATCATCGGTATTTTAATAGGTCGATTGCCCGATTATTTAGTCGGTCAGGCCCAACGGGTTGGCGGTCAGGCTATTCAAGATGGAAAAATCTTAAAAAATTGAGGTATATATATATATATGTCTATCACTTGTATGTTATGAATGCGTGAATGGTGTATTGAATGGCCTATTGGATAGCATATGCATGTTCTCCTTAGAGAGAACAAAATTCTTTTTGGGTCTTTGGAATTTGAAATTCGTATTTTTTTTTATACCATACATATTGTGGTTGGGATTATTACTTGGAAGGTTTTCCAACGCCGAAAAACATTTATTTTTAATAGATTTTTGAGTTGTATCTTACTTATAGAGTTGCAAAAAAATATACAGTGAGACCATTTACTTTTGATACAAGGATATCACAATTGTTATTGATAGTGGATGTTCAATTAAGTGGTTGATGATGTGTCATTGACTGGACACATAGTAGAAAATAAATTTTCTCGAATGTTGTAACACACTTCAATCTACCAGATTTCACATCCAATTGCTAAAAATGGTTGTGACCTCTTTGTATTAAAAATAAATTGTCTCATAATATACAATCCTTAAAGTTGCAACCTTATACAAGCATTTCTCTTGTTTTTATATATTAATTACCCACAAGGAAATTAATTTTAAAGTAGAGCCTTGAATTTCCTGATCTTCTCCCATATCAGTAACTTGAATTTCAATGACTCCATATGAACTTATATGAATAAATGTTTCCCAAAGTTGGAATACCTTCTAACTAATCATCTCGACCTCGAGATGTATAGTGTAAAGAAAAATAAGAATTTCAAGTCTTTAAAATAGTTCATCTTGTAATAAGTTATCTGGACTGCCTATTTTCTACATTTGAAATGCTTAAAGATATGCTCAATCTGCAAGGGTTATGGGAATTTTAAATTTTATAATTACGGTTGAACATGGACAAGCTATAATAAGGTTTATGATACCTGAACTACATCTTTTGTCAAAATGTAGAAGTGTGACTTACTTGTATAGTATAAGGTGGGAACCTTATACAAACCTCACACTATAAGTAAGGAAAAGCTCATGAGGTTAGTCACAATCATTATCAGAGTTTTATCAGGATATTACTGCGATTGTCTGTTTTAATTACTAAAAATTTATTTGGACTGGTAAATATGATTTCAAATTATACACCACTCGAAAAATAAATAAATAAATTTTTTATAAATGATTAAGTTGCAAATTATTACTAATATGGACCAAAATCAAAATATCAAAACTCCCTAACCATCTTCTAGGTTGAACTTACATTTCCGTCGTCAATTTCTTGCAAATTGCTCACCATTTTTTAAGTTTTTGGCATTTTCTTTTCAAATTCATATGGTTAATTTCTCTTTCTGATAACATACACTTTGTTACCGGGAATGTACTTATCATCATAACAAAAAGGAAGGACCAATTGAAAAGTTATTTTTACAACGATATTATCGGATTTATTATTGGCAGTAGAATTTATCATGACAAAACAAAGACAAATTAAATTGTTTAGGCCCTATTTGATAACTGAGAAAATTGTTTTCCTAAAGAATCTCCTAAAAACTGGAAGTTAAGAAATAGGTAGATTCATAGCGGAAAGCTGAGAACCCTAGTTTACAACCCATACTGAAAACAAGAGAAAAAAGCTTAGGCTAGAGTTTGGGAAAAGAGAAATTATGAAAGGAGAGATATCTTAAGATTAGACAAAGAAAAGGGGGACGAGGGGCGTATTGCATTCCCCTCTTTTTCCAGAGAACTCGGCAGCCCTCCCTTGGGGTCGGCTGCAATTTTCCCAAAAATTAAGAAAAAGTGTGGACACCCAGAGAAGTTCAGGACTTTGTATTTCTATGTTTTTCCTCATTCCCTAACTAAGGTAAATGTTGTAACTTGGAAACATATTTATTTTTTCCAATTTTCTGATATACCAAACTGGATTTTTAT